TATATATATATATATATATATATATATATATATATATATATATATATATATATATACATATATATATATATATATATATATATATATATATATATATATATATATATATATATATATATATATATATATATATATGTATGTATATATATTATATATATATACTTTGATTGTAAATTTTTAATAAAAAAAAGATTGAAACTGTAAATCTGCGCAAGTACTAACCTTGAGAGATGCCTAATTTTAGGCAAGAAAGTAACGTCAAAATTTCAATCAACATATTTCCAAAATTTACCATTTGCCTCTACAAAAAATAATGTTTGTTAATAAAAGTAAAAAAATAATAATAAAATTTTTTCTTAAAAGTAGAACATAATGGAGACAATTACAATTAAAAGAAAATATTTGGGACTTTCGTTCAATGCATTTATAAATGCCGCATAATTATATTTATGCATTTTTAATTGAAATGTATCAAAAATAAAACATTTTTTAGCTATTTTTTAATAACGTAGTAACCGATGTAATAAGTCATTTTAGATTTTAAGAGTACCATTATGTCTTAAGCATAAAGTTTTTCTTTACCACCGCCACATAGTCATTTGTTTTCATTTATTGTAGTTTATATAAATATATAAGTGAACAAGTGCAATTTGATAACATAAATTATTAGCATAAATAACATAAATTAGCATAAATCTGGTGTTAATAAAAAAACAAAGATAAAAGTGAAAAACTTATTTTTGCTTTTTATAGTTTTAAAGGCGATTGACCAAGTGTCCTCCATAACAGGGTTGGACTAGTCAGGGAAAATGGTGGGGGATTTTCCCACGGGCCCCTGCTTTGTCTGAAGGTCTTGTGCTCCACTATAAATCAAGATGCGTAAGTAAATCGCACATATAATTTAATAATAACTATTTATTGTTTATTTGCATCAATTTTAAATAAATATGGTAGTTATTTCTCCAATTAAAATATGAAATAAAATAAAATATACAAAGACATTGTGAAGCCTTTATTAGTGGTAGAGTAAATTACCTTGAGTAAGAGTCTATAAAACTACTTTATTACAAAAAAACATTTCGTGTTTTTATCGAATCATGCGTATATACTTTATATAAGCCCAGGGCCCTAGAGAGGATAAACAACAATATTTATTGAGGCTGGAAATTTTATTATTAAAAATATTATTTCTTAGTAAACATTACATTTCAGTTTTTGTATTTATAAAAAAGTGAAATACAATTGTAGTTTAGCTTTAAATAGGGTAAAATCTAAAAAATTTCAAGAAAAAAAAATTTTTCTTAAATTTTTTTAAATATGTAATCTAAAAAAAGTTTATATTATAATAAAATAAAATCTATAACTTAATATTATAAAACTTAAATTAAATTTCTTGATTTTTGACTTTGTGTTAATGGCTAGGTTTTTCAAACAATAAAATACAAATCGTATTTATTTATCATAACCATAAATCCATTTTAGCATTGCAATAATGTGCAGAAAATAAAGTAGTGCAAGGCTGCAATTTAGAATTACTATATTTTTTAAACCTTGCATACGGATTTTTTTTTTTCAAACGTGTCAAATAAATTGATGGACGGAGTGCATGGTCAAATATATGGAAATTTGCATGCATAATTCAAGAAATTTCCTATACCCTTATAATAAAAGAAAATATAATTTAGGCTTTAACTTATTTTTGCAAAATTTTTTGTAACCATAAGAGCCTTAACTATTTTTTTTCCTTCCCCCTCCCTGGGCCCTTCAGTGTCAGTTTAACCCTGCTTCAAAACAAATTAAATTTTTTTATTTGTAAAAAAATGTTTTGATAGAGAAGGAGCGACTGGAATAGCCAACCGATATCAACAATTTTTTACTTGTTATAGCCGCAGTTTAAGGAATATCTTAAACAGCCTAATGTTACCTGTATTACAAAAAGTTAACAAAATAATTATTACATGTTTCCAAAAATCATCAAAAACCACTACCTTTGTATTTTACGGAGAAAATGTAACTTTTAGAACCTATAGTAAAGTTATTCCAAAAATCTCATTTTACATTCCACCCTAGATTCTCTACTTCACCCAAAACATCCTATTTCACCAAAAACAGTACTCCTATAAATGTTTATATATTAATTCAATATTAGGTGTTTTTCTTCTCAAAAATGCTTTTGAGTTTGTGTAAAATCAGTTTGTGAGAATGCAATGATGGTGTAACTGTATTGACGCTCAAAAAAATAAAAAACAAAAATAATTATAAACATTTACGAAACTTTTTGTATTTGATGAGCTTACATTACATTTTAAATTTTTTAAAAAATTTAAAACTAAAATGCTCTAAATATCCCTAAAAACACGAAGTTGTATTAACAAACAGTTAACACAAATCAAACTTGAATTCTTTGATATATATTAAGATTTATATTAACAAAATGTTAATACATATCAAAGTTGTATTCTTACCTTATACTTTATCAGATAACATGGTGCTTTAAAAACTATCTTAACAATGAGTATTTATTTTTAATTAAACGACTACTTTTTAACAAAGTGATTTTAATTGATTTTTAAGTGCACAAACAGTAATCGCAGTTAATGTTGGATTCGGGTTGTTTTTTTAACTACAAGCTTTGCCCACAATTTTTTATACGTAAATGTTTGTTATTTTTTAGAGAAGATGGAAGAAAAAAAAAACTACACTAAATATAATATAAGTTATGTTTCTTCGTCAGTTAATTTCTTGTAAAACTTTAGTTCAATAGAAAAAGGCTTCAATTCAATAGAGTTATAATGAATAAAGTGTTATTATGATATATATATATATATATATATATATATATATATATATATATATATATATATATATATATATATATATATATATATATATATATATATATATATATATATATATATATATATAATAAAACGTTATTATGTGGTATATATATAATAAAGCGTTATTATGAGGTATATAAGAATGGAAATAAGTAATATCTTATAATTTTTTTTATCACAGCGTTGCGGTATAAATGAACGAAAATTTAAATGTCAATATAAAGAGTGTACTAAAATACACAGATTAAAAATAAAATAATGCTTAACGTTTAAAAATTATATTTCCGGGTAAAAATTCAACCATAAAGCAATCTCCTTCAATAATTACAATCTCATACAAATCAATTAGGTGTATACCCTACCAAAGCATTTGATTTGACTTATAAAACACATTTCGAAAGGTTCTCAGGCAACCTAATGTCATGGGCAGTGAATTTTTTTTAAAACTATGTTTCACTCACAATAGACTCGAAATTTTTATACTTTCTAGTTGGTTTCTTTTATTTATCTTTATGAGTTTTAATTGGATAAACTCTCTTTCAGCTGTAGCATTGCTTACAGGAAGATAAAATAAAAGACCAAAGTAGACTCGTACTTCAGAAATTCTCGGAACATCCAAAACTGTCTTAATGAAAATGACTTTGCTTCAAATATTTTCCGCCATCATTGCCCTTAGACCAGATTCGGTTTGCACTGTAACTGGGCCAAAACTTTGAAGGTTTACGCTTTGGCTTTTTAGAACTATTGTCTTGCTTGCTTCTACCTTGTTTTTTTTTTTTTTTCATTTAAAAAATCCTAAAAATTATAAAAGAACTAATAGAACTTACTAGAACAGACTTATTGAGTTATTTTTTATATTTCCAATATATAAATTAAGAAGAGCATACATACTACAACTATTATAGTACAATTTGTAGTCTCAAAAAGAAAACTAAGTTTTCCTTTTGAGACTACAATTTGTATGCATGATTAATCAAAAAGAAAACTGATAATTTTTTATCTTACTTTTTTCTTTTATTGATGCTGACTCATCAAAGTTTTCACATATTATCTGTCATATCGAAATCAGAATTATGATTATGTTGTCATCTAGATGTTGCATATTATTGTGTTCATGCCGTGTTAATTAATGTTTAAGATTTCAAATTGATCTATTTTAAAACACAAATATTCAAAGTCTTCACAATAACTAAAATCATTATTAAAACGTACACAAAGTATTTTATATACAAAGTTTCTCTCCTGATAATTCTTAATAACTACAATAGTCATTAAAACGTACACAAAATTTACTACGCAATAACTAAGGGATTGTCCGTAAATTACGTACGCTCAGATGGCTGAGAGGGAGTCTAAAAAATGTTCTAAATTAAATTTATGGAACTTAGAGTAAACCACCTAATCGTTGACGGTTTTTTTTACCTAGTCTTAAATAAATGATAATTTCTCACTCGTTATTTCATAAATGATCAATCTTAAAGTTTTATCGTGTAAAGGGGAAGTTGATCTTTACAATACATTTGAGTGAATGCCGTCCAAAAATAAATAAAGGAGTTATAGCCTTCAAAATGTCAAAAAGTTGAAACACTGGCAACATCTTAAGATAAACGTTTTTTTTCTCCGGTATTTGACACGAATAAAATTTTTATAAAGCACCTCTTTAAACACAGGTACCGTAAACTGGGTTACTTTAAACGTTTTTGATATATTTTTATTTGTACTTCCTTCACTATTGACAATATTTGAAATTTAACAAAATGAATATAGGGGCTAAGGTTAACTCTTACATAACTCAAGTTTAAAATAATATTTAAATTAAAGAATTTTGTATAATATTGATTTAGTCATTTAAAGTTACCCACAAGTGGGGTAACTTTCAATGCGTTTTTTTGTAAAAGCAAAACCTATTCAAAAACGCATCGTTTTGTTTTAAAATTTAATAAAAACAATAGTCTAGCCTCACATTAATTTTTTATTGCTAAAATAATATAATATTTCATAACAAACACCCATTTAGTACTTTTTTTGTTTTAATGGGTATGTTTTAAGTGGACTACTAAAAAAAGTCTCATTTACATCAGTTTTACTAACAGACTATGGAAGTGGAACATCTTTACATTTTACCAAAAAATCCAGAAAAAAAATACTTTTAAAAAGGAAAAAAAAAAATATTTTTTCCTTTTGAGCCTGTTTTTTCCTTGATATCAACAATTGTTTAAGTAGATTAATTACTGCTTGGCTTACTAAAATTACAACTGCTATTTGGCAAATGATTGAAGATGATACTTATACCTCATGAGTAAAGATACTGCTTTCTTTCCAACAAGATACCCGGTGGGAAATGAGTTAGCGACTTAGCTTATAATTATGAGAATAATTAAACTTTAAACATTGCGACATTGTAGCAATGTGTCGCTAGCTACATATCGTAGCTTTGTAGCTAGCCAATTGGTAGCTACGTGTGAAAATTATTTAGACAGCGAATTTATTACGATATGACGTTAGCTACAATAGTAGCTAACGTCATATGGGTTTTTAGCTTATAAAGCTATGGGTTTTTAGCTTATAAAGCTAGCTGCCCTCGTAGCCAAACCGCTATCTTTATCTTTACAAATATCAATAGCTTTTTGCTAACTTGAAAAGGTTAGCAATCCTCGTGGCCAAATCACTGTCTTTTTCGCTAAGATTATAGCTAGCTATTCACTAGCCGATTTCCCACCGAGTACTATTTTCTTTAGTAAATTCAAGCACCTTTTCACTGTAATGTTTGCTTAGATTATAACTAATAGGAAATTTAGTTCCTACAATTTGACAAAAAATAATAACAAACCAGTCCAAAAAGTGAATAGAATCAAACCATCAGGTGGTCCATTTTTGGTCCTTGTTAACCATAAATGTTTTATAAACTTAACCAGAGACAATTTGACTAGAGGCACTAAACATGATTTATGTAACATTACATGTTTTACAATTTGCTAATTTTTTGTATATTTGTAAAAACTATGGATTTTCCATGTGTTTTCGGATTAAGTTTTTAAACTTTAGTGGCAACTTGCACCCAACGAACGTCTTATAATGTTTATTTTTACCATAAAACTTGAAAACTGGCACTCAGTATAATTTATATATATATATATATTTTTGTCAAGCAACCATTTACAACAAAGGTAATTTCCAATCAAATATTTAAAAATATTAAATAAAAATACATTTCATTTTTTATAGTAATTACGAGACCGAAGAACCTGAAGAAGGAATCTTATCATAAGTAACTTTTGGTAATAAAAAGGGAAATAAAAATGTATTGTTAGAAAATAACATGTAAAGAATCTTGATTGGCATTAAGTTCGATTATGTTCTTTTTAAATTTTTGAGAGGTATTGGCTTTTTTAAGTTTATAACTCAGACTTGTAAAATGGTTCCATAGCATTGGGCCACGATAGCAAATGGCAAAGCTCGTAAGTTTTGATGTACGGAAACGTTTTTTAAATCTTCCGGTAGATCGAGTATTGTATCGGTTTAATATTTTAGGGAAAATATTTTTGAAAGCCTTCGGCGTTTTTTTTTTTGTCTGATGTTGGAACTTAAATTGTGTAATTTTGAAAATATTTAGTTCATAAATATCAAGTGCCATCATGCATTTTAGAAGAGGTTTAGCATTTGTGAAGCGATTTTAAAAATGCGTGCTGCATGATTCTGTTGTTTAAGGAGACATTTGAGTTTAAATACATTTGTACTACCCCAAACAATATTGCCATAAGATATATACTGCCTTGTATCAGTTTTTTTTTCGTATAAACGTGGGATAGTACTACTATGAAATCCTAAACAAAAACAATTATATTGAACAAGATTTAAAATTTATTAGTGTTCTGCAAAAAAAGTATATACATACAGACACACACAGACACACACACACACACACACACACACACACACACACACACATATATATATATATATATATATATATATATATATATATATATATATATTTATATATATATATATATATATATATATATATATATATATATATATATATACATATATATATATATATATATATATATATATATATATATATATATATATATATATATATATATATATACATACATATATATATATATATATATATATATATATATATATATATATATATATATATATATATATATATATATATATATATATATATATATATATATATATATATATATATTTTCGGAGACATCTTGACTTTATTTACCTAATTTTTTTTTTTTTTTTTTTGATTTAGAAAAATATAAACACATTTAATAACAATAAAAATGTTTAGATATTTATTTTAGAACTTCAAGGTTTGGAAAACTCCAAGAGAATTATTTTGTAGCAATATTCCAATTTTTGTGCAAACAGAACTTTACAAAACATTAATAAATGTCCGAAGGAAACTGTTGTGTAGCAATCATAACATTCAAGAAAACAATACTTTATAAAAGTAACTTTTTAAAAACCTTAGCAAATTGAAACATTTTTGTTCAGTCGATGACTAGAATGCGGTGTTCTTGAAGACTGGAATAAAATTCAATAACTTATAAAAGTGCTAGATTCAAACATAAATCACTAGCACAAATCACGTAAAATACTAAATAATGGCTAAGAAATCCTATTATAC